ATCACAATCCCTGACTTCAAACTCTACTACAGAGCTACAGTACTGAAAACAGCCAAGAACAGACAGGAGGACCATTGTAACCAAATAGAAGACCCGGATATCAATCCATATATCTTCAAACACCTGATCTTTGATAGAGAAGCAAAATATAACAAATGGGAAAAAGAAAGCATATTTAACAAGTGGTGCTGGCATAATTGGATATCAACATGTAGAAGAATGAAAATAGACCCATATCTATCACCATGCATAATTCAAGTCCAAATGGATCAAAGACATTAAGTCCTGTTCTAAAGCCTTCTGATCTTCTGACCAGATGCTTTCTGACCTCAGCAGGCATCAGTCACAAAACATATACATACATGCTGCAAAGTAGTGATATATAAAAGCTAATATAAATGATCTAATGTTTTTAAAACAAAAAATATGCAAATGGGATGTGCAATATTGTTTGCCATATTGTTTCTCTGGAAATGAATCTGGAATAGTGTAACCTAAATGATGTCAAGATTATCCTATTTTATGTTACTGACAGCTTGTGTGAAAGGTACTACTCAAATACAATTTTAAAATTAAAAATATTAATTTTACTGTTCATTTGTCCTATGTATGTATGTAAAGAAAGAATCTCATTAGTTTTCTTTCAGGATAATGTATAACTCCTGTATCTAACTTTGTTTCCTAATTTCCTAATTTTGATGTTTCTGTAGTTTCTTTAGATTCTATTTCTTTTTGTCAATTTTCTCATTTCCTAAAGTACTGTCAAAAGGACTTTGATAAAAATTGATTATTCTTTCTATACAGTAACAAACTATGTATATATTGTTTTCCTATTGACTATTCCTATTGTCTCTCTTCACAGCATTTCTCAGTGGTTTCCTTTACAGTAATTTTAATAGATTTTGAATTTTGGTTTAACCTTCTGAAGGTTTTGGAAATCCTGTAGCTTTCTCAAATTTTCTTATCGTTTTAGCATTACTTTGTTCATTTTGCATAAACGGCCAATTACTGTTGAAACAAATTGTTTACAGTCTTTAATGAAGAGAAAGCTCTTGCTGATTGTGTTCTCCTGTTTTAATAAGAACTTGCTGGCCATTTCTCAATGTTCACATGTCATATATGTATTTTTCTGTTTTCTGTAATTGTATACATTTTGAAGAGAAATAAATGTTTCCCAAATTCTTTCAGATTTTATGTGGATGTAGTTGCCCCACATTGGGTGCCATTTTGTAAATGGTGACTGCTCATTTGTTTCCCAGCTGCCCACACCCGAATAATCACAGAGAAGTTATATTAATTACAACACTGTTTGGCCAATGACTTATGTGTATTTCTAGTTGCCTCTTAAATCTTAAATTAAGCCATTTCCATTATCTGTGTATTGCCATGAGGCAGTGGCTTACCAGGTAAAGTTCTAGTGTCTGTCTCCTTCAGCAGCTACATGGCATCTCCCTGACTCCACCTACTCTCTCTCTCTATCTGTTCAGATTTCCTGCCTGGCTTTACTCTGCTAAGCCATTGGCCAAAACTGCTTTATTAATTAGCCAGTAAAAGCAACACACATACAGAAGAACATCGCATAACACATTCACAGGGAGCTCTCAAACTTGCAGAATAGTTTTCAGTGGAAACCCAATTTCATTCTATTTCATTGGAAGCAGTAGAGTCTGTAAGAAAGCTGTTTTTCCTTCCCAGAAACCAGACTTCTGCAAGTCTTCAACATCCAATCTCTTTAGATAGCACAGTGAGAAAGGACTAGGTATGTCCATTACTCCTGAAAGCACCAAATCATAAAATAGAATATCTGTAACTCCTATGATAAAAGGAGTGTGTTTGAGCCAGATGTGTTGGTGCAGTATCTAATCCTAGCATTAAAGATACAGAAGCAGGTAGATCCCACTTAAGGCTATGTGTCTACATGGTGAGTTCTAAGACTGTCAGGACAATAGACTCAACAAATATTTACTCAACAAAACAAAGCCTAAGCCAAACAACACCAAAGGAATCTAGCTACTCATTCATGGTTAGAGTGCTTTTCTTGGACCAAAGAGAGAAGAGAAAATTAGAGAAGAATTTCTTAATATAGTTTAGTGACTAGAATTATTTAAAAGATGCTTTCCCATTTTGTACTTACCTATATAGTACATGTTGTAACTGTAATTATAGTGTGCCTTGATATTCTCTCACAGCATTCATGCTATGCTTTTCCATTTTAAGCTATCATAATAAGAATTTAGTAAATGTAGATATATTTCTGAATGCAGTATTTACATACTAGGTCACATACATTACAGATAGAAAATTATTGGGAAATCAAAATTTGGTTGGTAAATATTAATATTTTCAATCATTATGGGACTTGGTAAATAATACTTTCAGGTTCATTTACACTGGTTCCTTGTGCAACTAATCATTAATCAGTTCTCAGTGAATGTCTAACCTCCACAAACAAAGGCCACTTGCTCAAATAGATAAGTGATACAACAGTGGAGGAAGAAAGTATTGGTGAGTTTAAATTCCAGAGTTTTGTTAACTGCTATGATAGCATGAGAACCATGTTTGCAAACAAGGCATACTATACTCTTCTACATTATTCTTCTGTAAATACCCTAACATAAGTGAAAGGAATGCAATCCCAATAAGACCCGATTTATATGATCTATGTTTACTGAAATGCCAGGGTATCTACCACAGAACTTTGGGAGGGAATGTCCTTCTAATAAGCAGTAGAGAAACTAACTATACTCCTGTTCCAGTCTAAACTGCCTATTTACCAGCCCTGCAGTTCTGAGCTATTTTTCCTCCCAAGGCACAGCTGACTTATGACTTCCCCAGGTTGTCCCTCAGGGTATCCTGCAGATGAAGGAAGGTGTTCTATCCCTATAAGATCCTGAGTCCTGTTTGGTTCATTAAAAAAATAGCTCCCAGAAGTCCCCCCTAAGAATTCTAATCAAGTTCCTGTATTCTGTTTTTCACTAGGCACTTTCACAAATGCTTGTGAATTTTCCAACCCAGAGAATCCCTGTGTTATTTGCTATAACTGCTCTGATGAGCTGACTGTCCCTGCACCACTCATAATTCACCCCTCTCTCCCTGTCATTGCCCTCTTACTACCATGAACCCCACAGATCTGGCTCTCAAACTAAACTGGATTTGCTCTATATAGATTTGTCACAACTTCTCCAACCATTGACAACCATTGACAAGAACAGTGTGTATAAATGGTCACCAAATGAAAATTCTGTCATGACAGGGTCTTTCAGCACTAGAGGCCAGAAAGACCCCAAATAGCTAGTACAGACAACTTTTAAAGGAAAAGCCACAGAAGCAAAGGGGAGTGTCTGGGGGTTGTTCCTTGACTGTTATGATTAGCCTATTCAAAAGGGCCACTATCAATAATTGGCTGGAGAGCGGTTGCCAGATCAGATGAGGTAAGAGGTCACTTTGACCCCGTTTCTCAGGAACTGAGTCAACATATAAGGGTTATCTTGCCCCTATTCAATAACTGAATTCTATTTGGACCCCGTTTCTCAGGAACTGAGTCAACATATAAGGGTTATCTTGCCCCTATTCAATAACTGAATTCTATTTGGAGAACATTCACAAGGACTCAGGGAGATGATGTCAAGTTCCCAACAATTGTTAGGTGTGTGGGCAATTGTTAGGTCCTTGGTTCCCAGAGGGGAAAGGGGAAGCACTATTGCTGAGATTTGAGTTGTCAGAAATGATTTTAAAGTTGTGTTAGAGTTCTACAGTTCAATGTTCCTGGCACACCAGCAACTAATACAAAGTATGACTACTTGAAACCTACAGCTTGAATTTACTCAAGGTTGTATTAGCTCGTATGTCAACAAACTCCAATACTGAGAATTCCCCAACCATATTTTCTTATGAGTTGAATATAATTTTTCTCTTATTAAAATCTGTGAAAATTTTACATAATAGGATGGTTTTGCCCACTGTAACATACTGTTTTGTCCAATGGACAGAAATGTCTGCATCTTCCTACTTATAAAATGCTTTCGGATTGGACTAAATATTTTTCAGCCATTCTCAGCTCTTCAAAAGAATCTTCCAGCACATTTTTGTGGATTTCTAAGCTAACAAGAGAATGGAGATTGTGTCTACTTCATAGTTTTTCATGATAGGTTCAGAAAGATTGACCCATGACATTAAGTTGAAAATGAGTCCATTGTAAAGCCTTATTATGTTTCATGATGAATTTTCCAGGATGTCTATAATAGCATTCTTTAAATGATTTAACAAAAAGAACTGAAGTTCAATGTATTCCTTAGGGCTTGTAGAATGGAATTCTAAAGTACAGCAGTGTAGGGCCCATGGGTCTACCCCTGCTCCCAGGTTTCATCTTGAGTTTCTGGCGAGTCAGTTAAAACATCTTGTTTGTTCCTGTGCTCCCTCTGCAGTGCCTGGTGATTAGCTATTACTAATTGTTTACTCTATCTTGGGCATGGTAATTTCTCACCTGCCTGGGGGAAATTCCTTGTGCAGGAGATAGGTATATAGGGTTTTTCCTAAGTTTAAATAAATGGTATATGGCTGATCTTTCAAATGACCCAGGTCTCTTGTGTTCTTTCAATCTCCAGGCCCTTGCCGGCTTGCATATGTTACAGTGGAGCACAAACTACTGAAAGTAACACAGGCACAGGCATTGCACAGTAGAACAGATCACCACAATGTGTGCATTACTAGATCATGGGGAGCCTTGTTTTAAGGGTGCGTTTTGTTGAATCGTGTAATTCAGAGCCATGAAGGGACACAGCCCAGTTTGGATGTGTTTCACTGACCCAGGCTTACTTAGTTTGGTAACTAAAATGCTTTCTCTCCAAAATCTATTCTCCATCATACCACAAATTTCAAGGAACAATTACTTCAGAACATATTTAATGAGACCCTATTCCTGGGGAGATGGAACCTACATAGGTATCTACTCACCCCAACAAGGAACTGAAAAAAGAACCAAGCCAAACTTGTTGAACCAATCAGCTTTATTTTGGGGTTAGAGGAATATGAGAAAGTGATGTTTACTGAAGCACAGGGGACTCAAAGACAGTTGTAATCATGAAGCTCCAAATCAGCATGGGATACAGCATATAAATTCAGGACACCTGGAGCACACTGTACACCTGTACACGTTAAAGAGCATACTATCTTGGTGAATCATTTTATCAAATTTGAGCAGTATGATCTGAGCTTTTCCATTTGAGTTAAACATACTGAATCCTGTCAGCTTCAGGAATTTCTTGAAGTTATTTTGAGGTGTACATTTCCTGTCTTATTCAGCTCTCATCCAATATGGATCAATACAGACTCCAAGAAATTGCCATATACCAGTACATCCTTCAGGTTTTGCTGAGTCAGAGTATAAAGATTATGCCACAATATTTGCTATGGAAACTTTTCTCCCCTGTGTGAATTTTCAGATGTTTCTGTAGACTTGAGAGACAAAAAAGGGTTTTCCTCATATATTACATTATCACGTTCCTCTCCTGTATAAATTCTTTGATGTGTTCTCTGGGTGATTTCTGTGGGAAATGAGTTTTTGCATTGACTATATTTGTAAGGTTTCTCTTCTATATGAATTCGCTGATGTTTTCTAAGATTTGAGCAACTGATAAATGATTTGTAACATTCACTACATTTATAAGGTTTCTCTCCTGTATGAAGTCTTTGATGAATTCTAAGGTGGTCTTTCGTGGTAAAGGATTTGTCACATTCATTACATTTGTAAGGTTTCACTCCTGTATGAATTCTCTGATGAATTCTAAGGTGGCCTATCTGGGTAAAGCATGTATCACATTCACTACATTTGTAAGGTTTCTCTCCCATATGAAGTCTCTGATGAGTTCTAAGACTGCTCTTCTGAGTAAAGGACTTCTCACATTCATTACATTTATATGGTTTCTCTCCAGTATGAATTCTGTAATGAATTCTAAGATGGTCTTTCTTGGTAAAGGATTTGTCACATTCATTACATTTGTAAGGTTTCTCTCCTGTATGGACTCTCTGATGATTAGTAAGATGGCCTCTCTGGGTAAAGGATTTGTCACATTCACTACATTTATAAGGCTTCTTTCCTATATGAATTCTCTGATGTGTTCTAAGACTGCTTTTCTGGGTAAAGTATTTGTGACATTCATTACATTTATATGGATCCTTTTGTTTATGAATTCTCTGATGAGTTCTAAGATGGTCTTTCTTGGTAAAGGATTTGTCACATTCACTACATTGGTAAGGTTTCTCTCCAGTAAGAACTTTCGGGTGCATTCTATGTTCTGAGGTACTGATAGAGGATTTGTCACATTCACTATATTCGTAGGTATTCTCTCCAGAATGCAATCTGCAATGTCTTTTTTTAAATTCTGATGTATGAGAGAAGCACTTAGGACACTCTGTACTGTAGGTTTTTTCTCCACAATGGACCTTGCAGTGTACTTTGATTTGTGACAAATGTAGAAAGGATTTACTACATTGTGTACATTTACAGAATTTCTGTTTATTATGACCTCTCTGATATCTACTAAGGCTTGAGTCTGTCTTGAAGCATTTTCCACATTTATGGCTTTGGTGGGGTTTCTTCACACTATTCGTTCTTTCTAGCATGAGTTCATGCTTAGGGTCAAAAGATTGATCATTCTCTGTATTTCTGTGTTCTTTCTGTCCCGTGTGTACTCTTTGATTCTGACTAATGATGAAACACAAATTTAAACAGTTTACACAGTCATTAATTTTGCAAGCTTCTTCAGGGTTTCCACATTTATGGCTGTATAAGTGTAATGATTCCACAGAAGAGTCTCGGTGGTTACCAAATATGTACTTGTTGCAGACTTTTGTTCTATCCCTAGCATTATGATTATACTTGGAGAATTTATGAATTCCTTTGTCAGGCTCATTGTATTTATAAGGATTCTCTTTGGTATATACATGCTGATGGACAATGTGCTCTGAGCTTTGATCCAAGACTTTCTCATAATTATAACATATGCAATGGTTGCCTGAAAAATTAGCACAATGAAGGAAGACAGGGATTAATGCATGAGTAAGAAACTTAACTGATTTGCCTTAAGTTTTTTAAGAAACATAACTAGCAATTCTCAGGGATAGAGCCCTCACCCTAGGTCTTCTGTCTCGCATGGCTAAAGCAATGTTCAGAAGAACCTCAACTCTGATCTATATCAAACCACAAGAACTGACAGTAATCTCATTTTTATCTACACTGTGTACATTGCAGAAGATAGGACAAATAGTGGTCAAGCAATAAATAGAGGACCTCCTGCTCAACAATGTTCCTCTATTTTCTTGTACATGTTTTTGAGACAGAGTCACACTGGGTAGCTTTGGTCAGATAAGAACTCATTTTGTAACCCAGGCTGTAATGGAATTCAACATATCCTCTTGATTCAGCATTCACATTGCTATGATTAAATTATTCAGTTTCAGGGTTAAACATAGAGAATACATCTCAAAAACTAAATAATAAACAAAAAGCCATGCTCACTACCCACAGCTCTCATTATTTAAACCTCCTGAAATTTAAAAATCAAAAATAGGTCAATAGTTTAATTCAATAATAACATAAAAATATTCCAATTATTATGTGTAATGCAATACATTTCCATGCTCTGAATATTCAATTTCCTTTGAACTTTCATATTTTCTTTTAAAACTAGATAGGAGCAGCTAGAGTGATCACACAGAATATAGCATTATCTACACTTCTACGGAACACAGAATAATGTAAACTGCACCATGAAAAAAATGAAGTGAATAACCAGAATTTCCATTATTTCTGGAAGTGTCTAGACCATTAAGATAGATTACATATTAAACGAAGTAGGTAAATAAAAATGATGAATCAGGAATTCCAGAAAAAAAAGCATTCTTACCTACAAAGACTAGATTGTTATAATTCTCCAACATAACATCCAAGTACAATGCCCTCTGAGCATGATCTAGACATTCCCATTCCTCCTGCGAGAGATCCACAGCCACATCCCTGAATGTTAACAGAGTCTGTAATAGAAAATTATCTATATACTATGTGTGGCTGGACAAAATACGTTCCTAGGTAAAAGAGGCTGAAGAACTACAGATATTTTCTGTGACATAGATAAGGCATGGCATTTATTCAAAGACAAGTTGTTCAAATTTGTTCAAAATTTTCTATAAGGGCTAAAGAAATGTGTTAGTTGTTAATCACAGTGTATAGACTGACAATGCTTATAATCTTAAGGTCTCTCTCCTTCATGACATTTTCTAAGACCGTAGCAGCAGATAAAAGATTCCCTATAATCTCCACATTTGAAAATGGTCTCTGTTGTTTGGAGTCAGTAACGACTTACAATCCTTTAAAATGTAGTTTGGTTCTGAGTATATTCATGGCACTACACAACAGACTTTAACCCCAATTCCATGAAATCCCATGTTCGCTTCTGAACTAAACAGATAGGAGGCTTACATAATACACACTTACATGTTCAAGCAAATACACCCACTTACAAAAACTAAAACTTAAATTTAATTGTACTAATAGATGATTTCAAAAAGTCATTGTCTATGTTGTATTTTCTATCTCTATAAAAAAGATGACCTAATAGTTTCACAATGAGCAAACTTTCAGGGAATATCACATACTTGTGAGGTCTTCGTGCAGGAATTTACCTATAGGAAGTATGTGTTAATATCAAGTAGGATCCTTGGGTCAATGTAAGTATGGTGAGCAAAACTGAACTGTGCTTCCAAATTCTACAAGTATCAACTTTGCTATTGTTGCACCATTTCTTTTTTTTTTTTTTTTTTTTTTTTTTGGTTTTTCGAGACAGGGTTTCTCTGTGGCTTTGGAGCCTGTCCTGGAATTAGCTCTGTAGACCAGGCTGGCCTCTTGTTGCACCATTTCTAATACAAAGGAATAGAATATGGAATGCAAATTTATTTATGAATTTAAATCAGTGTTTTCTTTAAACAGTAAGGACTGTACCACCAGTGTATGCATCTAATATTCTAAACAATAGACTCAAAATACTTTGTGCAGTTATTTTATGAGAATATTTTCACAACCATTAAGTAAATAAAAAAGCAGCAATAGACAAAATTAAATGTGCTAATTTTTGAAAATTGACACAACAGTTTAGATAATTATAATTTCATAAATTTTGTATGGTGTTTCACTATAGAATAGCTAGAAATATATGTGTAAATAAATAGCAGCATAGAACAATGCACTCATAGAAAGTAGAAACATTTTTTCTAACTGAAGCTAATGTATTAAGTTTTTGAGAATTACACTCATTTCATTAATTTTGAATACATTGTTATTCATGAGATTGGCTCAATTAAAAACTCAAGCCTTTTAATTTCAACTCTATTTTTTTTTTCAGTATCTGAGCTCAGTCATCTAGCAGGATTTTAAATGTCATTTATAATTCTTCCTTCATTACCCACAAACTAGAAGATGCCAGGTTCTGTACTATCTGTCTCACAAACATACAACAGGAATGTAATCTTAGGGCAAAGGAAATGGCCCAGATGTAAAGGCACTTACTGTTCCTGCAGAGAAATCTAATTTAATTTTCTCTACACACATGGCAGCTCATTACAGTCTCTGACTCAAGTGTCAAGGCTCTGGTGCTGACCTCAGGGATTCACATAATGTATCATGCAGTTTGCATAAAATTATGCAAAAGAACATTCATATACTTAAATAAAATCTTGCTTTAAAAAGAGAAATAGAAACCTGCCAATCACCACAGTACTCTGGAATCCCATTCTATGTAATACAAAGCTTCAGGAAGAGGAAAAACAAGGTGGAGGAGCTTATACTACCAATAGCAAAGAGTAAAGTGATTAAGTAGGACATCTGATGATTCTTCAAAATTGATGGCTTATGTACAGCACCAATTCAATTCTCTCCAGAAAATTCTTGCTAATATATGCCATATGATACAACACAAAGGTGGAGACAGTGGTGCTTAGGCCCTACTGAAATATTAAAACAATTGGTCTGAAGATTAAAATATCGGTCTATTGACGACTTACAATTGAGAATTAAGAATGATATGGTCAGGACTTTTCCTCAGATGAATTTCAGTTAGTAACACACCCATCATCACTGGGTAATGTAAATTTCAAAAGGAAAAACTGGCATACTACAATCCGCATTGGTGTAGAAGGGTCTTCTTTCTATGTGTTGTTTTCATTGGTTGAATAAAGAAGCTGCCTTGGCCTTTTGATAGGGCAGCCCTTAGGTGGGCAGAGTAGACAGAACAGGATGCTGAAAAGGAGGCAGGCTAAGAGAGCTACCATGGAGCCAGCCACCAGGTCAGACATGCTGAATCTCTCCCGGTAAGCCACTGTCACATGGTGACATACAGATTATTAGAAATGGGTTAATCAAGATGTGAGAGTTAGCCAATAAGAGGCTAGAACTAATGGGTCAGGCAGTGTACTATTCCTTTCATCACCTATACTCTCTAGGGTGCTAATATATGTATTATTGGAATTCAAGACAGCGAAGCTCTTCTAATTCTACATTTCCATAAATGGCTCAATGGCATAATTTTAAAAGTCCATATATTTGCTTGTCCACATTCATTTTCTGGATCTGAAAATCTGACCATCCCAGAAATGCAATCTTTCATCACTAATATAAAAGGACAAACGTCTATCCTATGTAGATGCTGGCCACCAATATATTTCTTTGGGTATCATTTGCAATAGATTATTTTAAGAATTGCAGGTCTTAAAGAATTTATGTCCTGCCGGGCGGTGGTGGCGCACGCCTTTAATCCCAGCACTCGGGAGGCAGAGGCAGGTGGATCTCTGTGAGTTCGAGACCAGCCTGGTCTACAAGAGCTAGTTCCAGGACAGGCTCCAAAACCACAGAGAAAACCCTGTCTCGAAAAACCAAAAAAAAAAAAAAAAAAAAAGAATTTATGTCCTCAAAGTAAAACATGGAATGAAAATATAATGTGAAGAGCTGTTCAATACATGTGAAAAAAAAAACTATAGACTTACTCATGATTATCAGAGTGGAAAAAGAACATAAATCATACAAAAGAAAACTTTAGATAACATTATCAGAGGTACAGAATTAAAGTCTAGAGTGCTTTTAATAATAAAAACAAATGTCATAGAAATGTAAACATGACACTGACCTCAGGTGCATTTACCTGAAAAACACTCATTCTTGTTGTTCTCCTCTGAGTTTCTGTGTCTGGAAAAAAGATGGGAATCCTTGTTGAAATTTCACATAAAGGTGTCAAAAGTACAAAGCTAAAATTAATCCAACTCTGTAGGGAACAATGCCAAACCAAATAAAAAGAGCTCAAAATCAAAATGATATCAGAAAAATTTTTAACATTCCTATAGACAAGAGAGCACAGGAGGATATATTTTGAGTGGAGAAAGAAAATGACTATGAACCTAATCTTTGCACCAAGAGACATTGTCTCCTAAAAAATCATGGAGAAGAAAGGGCACAGGAAGAAGTTTATGAAGTAATAAACGTCATTCACTCATGCAGCACTGTATATCATAATTAGAGGCAAAGAATACATAGAAAAACCAGAGTGTTATTTTATATAATAATTAGAGAGAGGACAGCTAAGGAGTCCTAGACTATGTCCAACACACAAATCGAGCAAACTTCCATTTCAAACTAAAAGAAAATACATTAATAATAGTAATTTTATCAACAAGAATACTAAAAAAAAAAAGAAAAACTCACAAAATAATGTCATGTGATAAGAAAATCTTAAAAATAAAAAACTGTAACGCCACAGAACAAACGTCACCAGATGCTATAGAGATTTGCATTGGTATGGATCTTGGTTTACTAATGCAAACAAAGTCAGGCCTTCGATGGGGTTGAACAATAGATAGTCATAGTTACCACCCTCTTAGGATCTAGCCAAGCCATTTCCAATACAAGACTTAGACTCCTTAGGATAAAATGTTTATTAAAACATTTGGCATATATTCCTTCCTAAATATTGTTTATGCTGATTGAAATTCTAATCTTATACTTGATATCTGTTCCTAGTGTATATGGTTTTGTATTGGGTTTAGAACTCTCTTATTTAAACAAAAGGGGGAGGTGCTGTGGTAGCACATTCTGCTCCTTCAGTCAATAGCATCTAAGATACCAGCCCACATGCTCTCTTATACTGTAAATGCAGCTATGAAGCGCATGCTCTCTCTCTTGCTTCTGCCTCTCTTTTCTGGCTGTGGGATTCAGTTGCTGTTTCTCGTTCCAGCAGAGGATTGTGATCTGTGAGTCTACCCTTAAATAAATAACTCTTTATTATTCATAATTCTGTGTGCCTGAGAATGTGGCTGTGGGCATGGCTCTCAGAGGAAGTGAACAGCTCTGCCATGCTGGGCTGGGCAGGGCAAGCAGGCAGTACCATATTTCCCCTAGTAATGGTGCAGTTTAAGGTTTTAAGAAACCCTTAACATTTTAAGAAGTGCTCCTGGACACTAAAGAATTACAGATATGCAGTAGGACAGATTCAGACAAAAAACAATCTTTTAAATCAACAAGCATAAGAGGTCATCCTTAGTAGAGAAGGCAAAGAAATTCCAGGCAGTAGAGAGCCCACTGGCTGAATCAACTTACTAAGCGGGTACCACTCTCCGTTTTCCAGATTTCTTTTTAATAACATATACAGGAGAATTCCAAGGGCTGGTTGATTCTTCAATATGCTGAGCATTTACCTGCTCCTATAACAGCAGCTCTAAGGCCTGCAGTTTCTCTGGTGTTAAAGGCCAATGTGCAAACCATACAGGTTTGTCTGCCAACCATTTTAAAGTTAGGGTTGTGGGTGTCTTGGAAAGAATAGCAGCTGTTGTGCCTTGTTCTTGAACAACCTGAATGGTCAGTGATTGTTCTTTATAATACCTTCCAATATTTTTCCCAGAAATGTACACTAATTTTCTCTCTGTTTCTAAGATTGGTATGATGTTAATCTGAGTATTTCATTGTTGTAACAAATTACATCCCCACATCATTTGTATGTTAGCTACATATGCTTTTAATTTTCCTCTCTTTCCTTTAGGCCCTATACATCCGAGCCATCCCAGGCTCTGTTTTACTTGAGGTAAAGTTCCAGTCCCTAAAAGCTGACTATTTATGTCCTGAAGAGGCCAATTTGGATGCCAAGATTTTGGTGCAATTATTTTTACATCCACACCTGTGCTTACCAGACTGTCACTGACATCATTCTTTCTTATTTTTAATTTTCATCTTTGTTCATTCATAGGTTTCCAAGAATACCCACTTTACTGTTTTTCCTGAATTTTCTGTTCTCTCATCCAGAGCAGCATGGTTTCTTACTACGGGCATTAGGCTTTTTTAATTGCTCTGAGAAGGAATTTCCTCTACAAAAACAGGAAACAACTGAATCAAATTTGGCATAGGGGCCTGCTAGAGGTCCCTCAATGAGATTCCCAATAGCAAAGGGTTATCTTGAATATTACTTGTGAACTACATTCAGTAGTTCAATGTCTGCCTTTGCCACAACTTCCGCATAATCCAGAAGTGAGTCGTATTTTCAAGAGACTCAATTATTATTTGTTTAGCTTCTGAATTCGTTATTATTCTATTTACTGCTGATGTCAATCCCTGTAAAAAATCAGTGAAGGTTTCTGTCAGGCCCTGTGTGCTTTTAGTAAGTGACTCAATCTTCTTTCCTACTTCTTCAATTCTGTCCCAAGAATTCAAAGATGCTGCATGCCATAAAACCAGAGTATGGGCATCATATATGGATTGCCTTTCTCCTTCTCCAAGAAGGTGATCTTGGGTGATTTCTATACCTCTAGCTTTACAAAATTGTTCAATGGCCTTAGTCTCTTCTTTCTAACAGGCCCTCCATTGTAACTGTGGACCAGGTTCCAAAATTGCTGTAACAAAGTCTCTCTAATCTTTAAGGATAATTCTATTACAAGTTGACCATGAGTTTAACATATGGCTTCCTTGAATCTAACATTGCCACAAGAGTCTATTCACCTTTACACAGCCTCAGGGATATCTATCATTTGGCGGTTCCTGAAAGGTTACTGGATATATTAAGGTTGGTTGTTTGAAAACCTTTGGCTGTTCCTCTCTAACCTTATAATACAAGGCTGAAGTTGGTTTTCCTTTAAATTGCTCTGTGTATGAATATCTTTATGATCTGTTTTATTAAGTTTTTCTAAGACCTGTCTGTATCTTGGCACTCATACAAAACAATTCTTTACAAGATGAACCAAGAATTATCAGTGACAAAAAGGATTATCTAAATGGTAACTAAATTTATGTCAATCCAGGTTGATTATCCCTTCATTCAATTGTTGCATTTTAAAAAAATGTATTGCGTAATCATACAAGACTTAATGCCCTCTATTGGAATTGTTGTAATTGTGTATCCCATTTTTTAAAGGTGGGGAGAAATATCTCTCCCCACTTTTTTTTTTTCTCTCTAATTCTTCCCTTTAAGAATTCCCTACTATCTCACGAAATCTGCTGCCGATGATGATGCAGATCTAAGTCTGACTGTTGCAATGTAGAAGAGTATAAGCCTGATAAGATTTCGGGGCAGCTACCTAGTTTGGAAGGAGCTTAAGAAGGGGGTTCAGGGAAAGCCCACCAGGAAAGAAGAAAGGAAAACTTAGACTTTAGGGTATGAATCAAGTATTAGCCAAGTGAAGGGTATTAATTAATACTTTAGGGTATTAATCAAGGGTATTAGCCAAGTGAAGCTCTGGCCTATGCCAGTGGCTGCAAAGCCAATGGCAACAGACTTTTTCATTAATTTGTACCCCAAAAGTTGGGTACCAGATGTAGCAAAACTCTAATTGTTATTAATAATAAAAACCCAGAGTCAGATATAGGGGTTAGTGCTGAAGATCAGAGAAGCAGAGGGAGTGAAAGATGAAGGCTCAGAGAAACAGAACAGCTAGCCACTAGAGTTCTTACCTCTACCAATATTCAGACCAAAGGGGCGATCCTATCCTCAGACTGCTTCCACAGATTGTATTCCCATACTGCTTCAGACTGACTCTCTCCTCAGACTGTTTCAGATGTACTGCCTCCTCAGACTTTACTGAATTCCTGTTTCCTACCACTTTACAATCCTCTCTCTGTCCAGCCATATCACACCTTTCTCCACCTCCCTAGTGCTGGGATTAAAGGTGTGTTATCCCAACTGTTGGGATCACCTTTGGTGAGTTCTGTTTCTATTTCAGATAGGATCAAATTCTTGTTGTCCAAGGTAGTCTTGAAATAACAGAGATCCATCTGTCCCCTGAGTCCTGAGATGAAAGGTGTCTGCCACCACTTCCTGGCCTCTAGTGGCTTAGTTTTCCTCTCTGATCTTAAGACAAGCTTTATTTGTTAAAACACAAACAAAATATCACTAAACAATACCCTTCACAATAGCCACAAATAATATGAAATATATTCCATTAACTCTAACCAAGCAAATGAAAGACTCCTATGAAAAACCTTCAAATCTTTAAAGAAAGAAATGAAGGTGTCAAAAGATTGAAACATTTCCCATGCTCAAGAATATGAGAGAATAAAAAATAAAAATGGCTATCTTAACAAATCAATCTACTGATTCATACAATCCCCTTAAAAATTCCAACACAATTCTTTACAGACCTTAAAGGACAACAATCAATTTCATATGAAAAAACAACAATAAAACCCCAGGATTAAAAAAATAAAAACCTGTACAATAAAAGAACATTCAGAGATATAACCATCCTTGATTTCAAGCTGTACTAAATAGCTATAGTAATAAAAACCACATGATACTGGCATAAAAACACTTTTTTTCAATGGAATCAAATCAAAGTCCCTGATAAATTAATGGATACCTGACTTTTGATAAAGGAGCCAGAAATACACAATGGGGAGAGAAAAGCAGCATCTTCAATAAATGGTGCTGGTCTAACTGGAGGCTGGCATGTAGAAGAATGCAAATAGATCCTGTATCTGTCACCCTGCACAAAACTCAAGTCCAAGTGGATCAACGGCTTAAACATAAAACCATATAAGCTCAACCAAAAGAAGAGAAAGTAAAGACTAGCCTTGAATGCACTGGCACAGTAGACAACTTCCTGAAAAGAAACCCAGTAGTGCAGGTATGAAAACAACCAATTATTAAGGACTTCATGAAATTAAAAAGCTTCTGTAAGGTAACAACACTGCCAATAGAAGAAAATGACAACCTACATATGGAAAAAGACTGTCACCAACTCTACTTTCAACAAAGGGCTAATATACAAAATATATAAGGAACTTAAGAAACAAGATTTCACTAACCAAAAAAATTTAATTAAAAATGGGCTATGGATCTAAACACAATTCTCAAAAGAGGAATCTCAAATGACTAGAAATACTTCAAGAAATGTTCAACATTCTTAGCCATCAGGGAAACGCAAGTCAAAACTACTATGAGATTTCATCTTAAGCTACACAAGTGACAGTTCATGCTGATGAGGCTGTGGATTAAGGGGAACACTCCTCCATTGGTTGTGGGAATGCAAATTTATACAGTCACTATGGAAATCAATACTGTGGTTCTTCATAAAACTGGGGCTCAACCTACCTCAAGATTCAGTTATACCACTCTTGGATAAATACCCAAAGGATGCACCATCCTACCACAAGGGACTTGTTCATCTATGATCCTAGTATCTTTGTTTATAATAGACAGAAATAGGAAACAACTTAGTTGTCCATCAGCTGAAGAACAGACAAAGGGAATGTGGTATATTTACACAATGGGAAATTACTCAGCTGTTATAAACAATGACATGAAATTTTTAGGCAAATAGATGAAACAAGAAAATATTATCTTGACTGGGGTACGCCATACCCAGAAAAAACAAACATGATATATACTCATTTATGAATAGACACAGGGTGTTAAGTAAAGGATTATCATTCTACAATCCACAGTCACAGAGGAGAAATAAATTTTGCAGGTGGACTGAGGCTAGAGGGAATGGAAACAAGAAGGATCAGGTGGGAGCGTGGGGAAAGTACTAAGAGAGATGATTGGAATGGGTGAGAGAGGATTGGGGGCAATGAAAACTTAGTGCAGTGGAAGCTCACTGAAATTTAAGAGTGACCTGGCAAAGAATCCCAGTAATGGGGAAACCTTTAACCTATAATCTGTTCTGTGTGCAAGACGTGCTGGGGCAATGGTGGAGTAGTTGTGGGAGTGTTCAACCAATTACTGATCCAATTTGAGGCCCATCTATGAGAGGAAGCCCACATATGACATTGCCTTTGGGCCTGGAAACAGAGACTGGATAGCCCAGAGACCGCAAATGAAACCAAATACAACTGGCAAAAACAAACAAATACATCAATGATCTGATTCCAAATGAAATTCTGCTTTACTCATCGATTGGTTTGTAGCCTAATTATCATCAGACAGATGGCAAACAGCAACTGATGGGAGATGATACAGAGACCCACAGCCAAACATTAGGTGGAGCCAGGGGACCTCCACAAGAGACGCACAGGAAGAATTGTAGGAGCTAGAGGGGTCAAAGACACCATGAGAACACAGCTCACAGAATCAACAACAGTTCATAATTGCTCAGAGACTAAAGCAAAAATCACTGACACTGTATGGGTCTGTGCTAGAATCTATGCATACATGTTAAAACAGACCAGCTTGGTATTCTTGGTGAACTCCTAACAGTGGTGTTGGGACACTCTTTTACTTTCTATTAGGAAACGTTTCCTCTTACTGGTTTGCATCATCCAGTCTAGATATGAGGATTTGTGCCTAGTCTTATTTTAACTTGGTAAGCTGTGTTTGGTTAATATGTCTGGGTAGCCTGTAATTTTATTTTTCAAAGGAAATGAAGGAGAAGAATATCCGTGAGAAAGAGGAGGTGGTATGGGACTGGGAAAAGAGGAGGAAGGGGAAACTGTGGTTGGGATGTAATGTATGAGAAAAAAATAAAACAAACTCAATATTTTAAAAATAAGTATGCCTAATATGCACCAAAATCCCCTCTCTGTCAAGTCAAGGTCTATATTCAAATTTCTCTTCAATGACAAACCCTGCAGACAACATGAAAGAAAGAGCTCAGAGACACAATGTCAGGGGTAATCCAACTTAATGCAGCCATCATACAGGTTGCACACAGCTTCTTCAATAATCATACAAGCAAAAACTCACATATGATTTAACTATATTACACATGTGGTTCTGTAAGAAATGACTCATATAGTACATTCCTGCAAAATTGAACTACTCTCTTGACAAACAAACATGTGATAGAAAAAGCAGGTGGAAATCAGAATACATATATTACAGTTGAACAATGACACACACAGCTTTCATGTTCTTATTAAAATAAATTGAATAGTGACTTTCACTTAAGAATTTTAAACAATTCATTTAAACAGGAATGGGGAATTTTTTGAAAAACAGAAAAAATATGCCAAGTTGATATGAAATTTTGAGAAAGCACAGTGTTCAAAAATTTTCAGAAGAGCAAAATGAGATTTCAAAATCTATTAATATCAATGCAAATAAAAACAATTGAGTATTGGCTTGAAGAAAGAGCAAGTAACATCAATAGGATTACAATTAAGAGAGATTTAAAACTCTGCAGAAATACTAAGCAATTCTTATTGAAGTCATGAAGGCATCATTTTAGGAAATGGGAAAAGTAACAATTAAAGTACAAAAAATCTAAAGAACCTACCAAAAATATCAAATGTAGATCTAGATACAAACCTAGAGGCACCAATTTTCCAAATTTTATAAGATGCTAAAATTTAAATGATGGAAATCATTTATATTGATATGAACACTCAAAAAAGATATACACAGGATGGGGATGCCATTACAGTAATCCTCACCTTGGAAATCTCCACATGGAAAGTTCCGCCCCCATGAAACACTATATAAACCCTGACTTCTGGTCAGCTCTCTACTGCTTCCCAAGCAGAAGCAGACACCCTCTTTTATTTTGCCTCCAAATAAAACTCTTGGTTGAGGTTTGCTATGTGGTGTGACTCTGGTATTCCTTGCTACCCAACTACAAGAATACCTTTCTCTTCAGAGCTTCAACACTCGCATTGGAGAAACCTTCCCCATGAGAGCAGAGCTGTAACACTTGCAATTCAGGAAACCTTTCCCCTCAGAGCTTTCACAATGCCACTTGGGAAGCCTTTCACCTAAGAGCGGTAACACATTGGTGCACTTCCCCTGGGGTCTCAACTGCACTGGAACAGTATCCCTCACCTCAGGCTCTCCTGCAACAGACTCATCCTCATCTTCTGGCACACAGATTGCATGGTAACCCATCCACCAGAGGCAATTCAGTGTGTTTCCACTTTGACTGGTGTAAATGCCTCCCTGAGTTCAAGAAAGTGACCACTGTTCATAGAGCACCCCTCTGGACTCTTGGGAATGAAGGTACCCTGAGTTTGAAGGCTATGGCTGGCCCTCTTCCCCTGACCCTGGCTCCCCACCCTTAAAGCTACAATCCTGCAGTTTCTTTAGGCCCAACTGAGTTACTATATGCACCACTTCCTGGCTTCTTCTCCCATCTCCTGTTTGGAGCTGCCCACATTCCCTAGCTCCTCTAGGCTGCTGTGGATTTTGTGACTCCATTTTCTAATTCTTTTTGTGAATAAGACCCCTCTCCTAAAGTTTAGTTTTTGTCCTCACCTTATGCACTCCTTGCTTTCTGGAAAGTCTTGGTACCAGGTGCCAGTTCTCTCCTTCAGCTTAGCAAGACTAGGTCCATGACCCCTGCTGAATGCAGTAAGGACACATTGAATGGCTCAGGTCTTCCTTGAGTCCTGGGGATACCTGAGAAAACAAGCAGCAGTGACATTTTTCATCCCATGCTCTTCTCTCACCCATGGAAACATTATCTCCCATACCCTCTCATTCATTCATCTTTTAGAAAATCTCCAGACTTTCTACCTGATAGCTGACCAAAAGGGTCCCAAATTTACTTGCTTTTGCTAGCAACTTTAGTCTCGATACCCCTTAAACAATCAACCAGAGGGCTGACTAACAGCACCCTCGTACCTAATAGTATCCGGGATCATTACAAATCCTGTCAGTGATCAGGGAAATGGAAAGATTCCCCATACTCGATTTCTCTTTTCTCTGTACCAAGCCCCACTGGTCTTGTCAGGTTTGTCCCCTCCCCCTCAAGCCCACAGGACTTTTCAGTTATTGTTAATGGAACTGTAAGTGTGAAGCAATTTGGAAGCCAGAAGCCAAACCTAGCAGGAGAGGGAAAAAGCAAAGGATCGGTTCAACTGCTATGTGCACATACCCAAAGTTGGTAGTCTCTCAGCTCTCTCCTGCAGCATCAACTGCTATGTGCACATACCCAAAGTTGGTAGTCTCTCAGCTCTCTCCTGCAGCATCTTCACTCTTTAGCCAGGGCTCAAGTATTTCCTATCTCTAAGCCTTCATTTCCTCAGCTTACTAAATTCAGTTTTATAGATATTTGGTGGGTTTTAGGTGTGAGTGGCATTAGACTATTTTTTTTTTTGTGGTGTCCCATTTCAATTAAAAGATGGCTTTGAAGTTCGGTTAGGCTCCCCTCCTCTAAAACCAAGCATGTTTATTTAAAGGTTTCCTCCAAAATGTCCAGCCCTTATCAGGATAGTCACATGACTACGTGACAGAGAAAGGAGAGCAAAACAAAATTAAGCAGCATACCATTCCCCATGGGGACTATTGATACTTATACTCAAAATTTTGGTTTGAGTTTAACTCTCTAAAACATTTGCTAAGGTATAAATCTTATCTCAAATTTTGTAAGCATATAGAGTATAATTTAAAACCTGTAAAAGCTGTAACAAAAGGGTTAGCTCATAATACCTGAGTTGACAGGAAAAATGCATCCATTTCACATATATAACCTTAAAAGAAGCATGTTGCTTGCTGTCATTTTACCTGTTGTCCCATAATGGGATAGAGAGAGCCACGTGGCTAGCAGCCATCGTTAGGGTTGAAAAGAGTAAATTTTGTCATGTGATTTCACTCCCATCACTAAAAGTGACCAGGCAGCTATGAGGTGGTAGTGTAGTGCAGGTCTTTAATCCCAGCATTCAGGAGGCAGAGGTATGCAGATCTCTGTGGGGTTTATGCTAGTATGGTCTACAGAGTGAGTTTCAGGATGGCTAATGCTGTTTCGCAAACAAAACCTGTTTCAAAATAAAACTTAAAAAAAAAAAGTAAAAAAAAAAAAAAGTAACCACGTGGTGTAAGCCAACTAGGAAAAAAAACAACTCCTAGCCATGAAGCCCAGACCAGATGATTCTTCCATTTCTGATTACGCCTTAAAGCCTCTGTCTTATTGGCCTTCACCCACAGTCCCTTCTTTACCACTTTGAACTCTTTGGTCTCCCTTTCTGTCTCCTAAGTGATAGGCTGCCCAAATCAACCCATTCAGGTATCCACTTTCAGCCCACTGGCATCTATTAGTCCTCTAGCTCCACCAAGGGTCACCTTTACATGTCCCAACTGGCCTAAACTGGCCACAGTTCTCACCTTTGTAGGAGGTTGCCTGGCTGATGGCCTTTTCAGAGTACATATCCCCCTCTCGTTATGGAAACTCTCTCAAATAGAAGAGACTTTGGGGACCTACACTGCTACTTCTTCCACCTTGATTAAAGAATGACAGTATATTACCCAATCTTACAACCTCACGTCTAGTCTATATGATTCTCACCAACAACCTTTTTCCCAAGGAGCACAGGTAAGTCTGGGACCAGGATAGGGCACCTGCAGGCAAAATCCACCAAACTAATTCCACTGCCCCAGACAAAGCTAAGACAGTCCTTGACCAGGATCCTGAATGGAATTACAATAACACAGGGTGCATCCTTGCTATGGATCAGTTTATAACTTGACTACTGGCCAGTCTCCACAAAGCTGCCCTCTTCTTTCTTTCTTTTTTTCTTTCTTTTTTTCTTTCTTTCCTTCCTTTCTTCCTTCTTTTTTATTTCTTTTTAAAAAGATTTATTATCTATATAGTATTCTGCCTGCATATCTGCCTGCAGGTCAGAAGAGGGCACCAGACCTCATTATAGATGGTTGTAAGTCACCATGTGGTTGCTGGGAATTGAACACAGGACCTCTGAAAGAGCAGTCAGTGTTCTTAACCGCTGGACTAAATCTCCAGCCCTGCAAAGCTGCTCTTCAAGAAGTAAATTATGAAAAAAATCCAAGAGTTCAACCAGGACAAACACAGAAACCAGTTTCAATTCCTAGAACCCCTTAAAAAGGTTCTCTTACAATATACCAATCTGGATTGCGAGACCCTAGATAGAGAACAATCCCTTATGACCTACTTCTCCCAGAATTTCCTTTATTTTAAGGTCAAACATAAACATCTAGAGAAAGGAACTCTGGCTCTACAGGTAGAAGTCATAGCCATGGGCTTTGAGGTATACCATGGTAAAAATAAAAAAGGCCAAAAATCAAAAATACCTGGGGCTGGGTAAGGACTTTCAGCCACCCATAGCAGTTGCCCAGGCACAGAAAGCCCAGGAACTTCAAGGTCCCTTCCAGATGTGGTCAGGAGAGTCACTGGATCTGGGTCTGTTCAAACCCTCATACACCATTCTAACCATTCCCATAATGCCATTAACAGGTTCGATTACTGTCCTCAAGTCCTTCATCATGTGAGGACAAGTCCAGATCACTCTTCAGCTAATCTCTCTTATGTCTAGCCATAGTTGACTGAGTTGGCCCCTGAATCCCTTCACCCAACAACACTATCACCAACAGGGAGCCTTGGGTAGCCATTATGACATCTGGGCAATCCATCTCTTCCTTCAGAGCCACAGTTTTGGTACTGATGGAATTTTGGGAACCCATATCTCCTCTCTATTCCTGGAATAGGGGAACAGTCTTACCAGTCTTATCCTATATTTTTAGGATTATTCCCCTTACCCACAATTTCCTTGTATTAACAAGCTGCTCCATCACCTTTGCTGAGAAGGAATTTCCTAGTCAAAGTAGGAATTTCTATTTGTTTTCTCCCTCTATCTGCTTGACCACAGCCTCACCATTCTCCTCCTCCAAACCACACAACCTGATACAACTTTTCCCTTACTGGCTGGCTTCCCGGGTGGATTCCTGAGAATGGGACACCAAAAATCCCTCGACAGCCAAACATCATTCACCCACCTTTCCTCCAGTTCCAAATCCTTTCACACCCATCAAGGGGAAAAGGCAAAATATAGCCTACTTGCCTGATTCTGGTTGTTTGGAAAGTTTTGTCTGTCTGTTTCTGCAGGCAGATGGGTCTAGGTTTTCTGAAGTATCTCTAAGTTTCTTTATAAACATAGGAGCAGAGATGGAAATTGTTCAGTAAAAGTTGAATGTATGACAGTGGCCACTGCATGTTTTATTTATCACTGGTCTTCATTAAGTATGTGAGCAGTCATTGTTCTGAGTTTATTGGTTTTATTTCCTTAGCTTGTCCCCCAAGGAGAAGCCTGTTAAGCTGCACAACTTCCTTAAGCCTCTGTGATCTTGTCCCTCTTGTCTCTCAGCTCCATCCTGGAAGTCTCACAGCTTACCTATGCCCTTCTGGGTTTTTCTCTTGCAAAAGTAGGCAGAAACTCCTTTGGGTGAAGTTTTTGCAACCCTACCTATCTTTCTTTCGGGGACTCAGATTTCATTATCATTAAAGTTTTGCTCTGTTACTTCAAACAACTTGGTCTCAGTACAGTTCAATAGTCAAAACTGACATGCTGGATTTTCAATGGTGACAATTTCTGCCAATGCACAAATGATATGAAAATCTTTTTTGTCTCAATTTCCTCTCTCCTCCTCTATTTCTTCTTGTCTACACCTGCTATTACTTACAGATGTTTAATATATAAGGGGGCCCTACCTCTACTTAACGGTGTCAGGAATATGTACCGTATCAGGTTGTCAAAGGCAAATTGACTCAGTCCCCTACCACTCCCTTATCCGATTTTCCTTCACTGAGGCTTAACCTCTATGTTGCTTTTCTTTATTACAAAAGGGAAGACTACTGTAAAAAGTGACCAGAAATTTAAAGATGTTACCCATATCAGTCCTGCAAATCCCATGGGACAAACCTGAGCCACTGTAATTGCATATCAGTTACCAAATAATACTCTGCTTGCCTGCTTCAGAAAGGGCTGGCTGTGTGTCCCTTCAGGGTCAAATTCATGACGACCATTCATAGACTCACAAATGGACTATCATCTCGCCTGGTCATCTCGCCTCTCATTAATTGTTCTGAACCTATTATCAGTACCATGCTCTATCTCTCCCATATCTTTCTCGAGTACTGCAGACTATATAAACCCTCAGGGACACAACTTATGGGCACACGAGAACTCTCAGACTGTAATAATACTTTGACTTTTGAGCACTGCGAGCCACCCTTATATCTGAACATTCATTACACCTCTATCCTCTGAGCACTTAGGTTTACCACTGCCTACCTGCTGGGTTTTCTGGGACTTGTACCCTCATGTTCCTTTTTCCAAAATTAGGAGTGCTACCTGGTGAAGAATCCTTGCTGATTCTCATCACGTGGTTTATAGATGCATGGTATAACAAATGAGCGCTTCAGGTCCTACCCTTTCTCTCAGTCCTGGGAATAACCACTGGCTTGCAACTGCAGTGGCAGGACTGATTACTTCCCTAGATATTTACCATCAGTTTTCATCTAAGTTCATCCAGGAACTCCATTAGGTGGCTCAGATCATCCTTACCCTCCAATGCTAAAATTAGATTCACTGGCCGCCATACTGCTACACCATTGACTAGGACTGCATTTACCAACATCAGAGATAAGATCATCTTTGTCGGGCTGGAGAGATGGCTCAGAGGTTAAGAACACTGCCTGATGTTCCAGAGGTCCTGAGTTCAATTCCCAGCAACCACATGGTGGCTCACAACCATCTGTAACGAGATCTGGTGCCCTCTTCTGGCCTGCAAGTATACATGCAAGCAGAACATTGTATATGTAATAAATAAACATATTTAAAAAAAAAAAGATCTTTGTCTCTTCTTAAAGGATGAATGTTGCTTCTGTGTCAACCAGTCAATTATAGGAAAAGATCTGAGAAGTGTATATGGGTCTTCAAAAAATGTAAGATACAGCTTGATGACAGTGAATATCTGTGAATTCAGTGAATCACTGACAGCCCAATGGAATTTGATATTACCCTTTTAACCCTCCTTTTCCTCCTTTTCTTAATCCTACTGATCCCACCCTACCTTATAAATTTCTTGTCTGGATTTCTTCAACAACAGATAGAAAAGATTTCTAAACAGACTTTTTTTTTTTTTTTTTTTTTTTTTGGATTTTTCGAGACAGGGTTTCTCTGTGGCTTTGGAGCCTGTCCTGGAACGAGCTCTGTAGACCAGGCTGGCCTCGAACTCACAGAGATCCGCCTGCATCTGCCTCCCGAGTGCTGGGATTAAAGGCATGCGCCACCACCGCCCGGCGCAACAATTGCTCTTAACTGCTGAGCCAAATCTCCAGCACTTGGTTTACTGTTCCTTAATTAGGTATTGTGGTATTAAATCAATGAAGAGTAAGGCAGAATTCATGGAGTACTAGAGACACTTTCATAGCGTCAGGATGAAAAACACTGACACAGAAGTAGGGTGACAAAGATACACTGAGAAGTTTTGGCAGCAATGGGCATTGGATGTAAAAAATATTTGTCCATAATAATATAACTGAGGGTTTACAAGCACAAGAATAGGTCAATCTGAAATAGTATATTGAAAGATATTAAAAAGGTTGTGTAGAAATTAGTGAAATAAAGACAACAATGAAATAAAGACCATACAGTGAGTCAAGGAAACAGAACTTGTTTCCGTAAACTAACAAAAGTACAGATGAAGCATTTTCACCTACTCCAAACTAAAAGAATGAATCCTGAAATAACAGAACTAGAGTTGAAAAAAGGGCATTGAAGTGTATCCCAATGACATCAGAGTTACCTTACGGAGTACTGTAGAAAGTCATACAAAAAGAAATTGAAATTGAAGAAAAGGATAAGCTCTTAGAAACAAGTAAAAAACTCAACCTGCTAAGGTAAATAACTAGAAAAGGAATTAAGAAGTACTGAGATTGAAGCAAGAAGTTTCCTCTTATCAGTGTCTGAGTACTGGACAGACTCAGAACAGAATTCTCCTTTCCTTTAGACAAACCTTATAATAATACCAAAAGGAAAATATTGCACAAAACATAAAGGGATGTTAGAAAGTCATCATACAAAGCTAGCTTTACGTGAATACCAAAAGCAGATGAGTCCAGACAAATATATTCAAAGAAAAACCACAGACCAGATTCCAGGATCAACACAGACACAGAGAATGTCTCTAAATTACATGGAAATGGACTGCGAGATGATTTCATACAAGAATTCAAGACTGTTTCAACACCTATATATTAATCAATGTAAGGCAACAAATCTAGACTCAGTGATAGAAGAAATACGATCACGCTAATAGATTGATGAAGGGCCTGTGGCAAAGTATATCTGCTCATTATAAAAACTCTGAAGAGTGTGACGAAAAAAAGGAATATACCTCAGTACAGCAAAAACAATGAGACATAATCTTACACCTAACAATACAAAACAACAGTTGGAATCATTTTGCCCTAATCAGGACAGAGAAAGTTGAATTCCACACTCAAAATATTGCATCAGTGGGTACACACTTCAAAGACAGAGAAAAATTTAATGCTGATAACATAGGATAAAATAAAGGGGGGGGGACTTCTTAGATAAAAAATAGAATCCTGGTCTCCCTCCCTCCCCTCTTTGGTGGCACAGCACCTCCCAGCTCAGCCTGCTCGGGTGCTGGGGCTGAACCCGAATCAGGAGGGCATAGGGGAGGGCGGTAGTTCCTTTGCCTCCATAGCCTGCCTGCAGAAAGCAGGGTGGGCCCTTGGTTTGCGAGCTACCCAAGCAGCACGGAGATCCAATCTGGAAACCAGGAGAACCATCACTGGGGAGTGACATCACTGGGAAGGTACATCAGTGGGCAAGAAGACCTGATCCTGTAAAAGAAGATCCATAGAGGAGCATTGGAGGAAAGGATGGGCAGGCGCCAATGCAAGAATTCACCCAACAATCTGAAAAACAACATGAAACCACCAGATCCCAGCGACCTCACAACAGGAGGACATGAACACATTAATCAAGAAGTAGAAAAAACTGACTTCATGAAAGTGATAGAGGCCCTGAAACAGCATATAAAAAACGCCCTTACAGAAATGGATGAGAAGTATAACAGAAAGTTTGAGGATTTGAGTAAATCAGTGAATGATACCCTGGGAAACCAAGGAAAAACAATCAAGCAGATAATGGAAACAGTTCAAGACTTGAAAACTGAAATGGAGGCAAAGAAGAAAACACAGAGGGCCGGCTGGACATGGAAAATCTGGGTAAACGAATAGAGACTACAGAAACAAGCATAACCAGCAGAATACAAGAGATAGAAGAAAGAATCTCAGATTCTGAAGATAACATAGAGAAAATAAACACACTGATCAAAGAAAACAGCAAGTCCAACAAACTCTCATCACAAAACATTCAGGAAATATGGGAGACAATAAAAAGACCAAACCTAAGAATAATTGGAGTAGAAGAAGGAGACGAAGTGCAGCTCAACGGTCCAGAAAATATACTTAATAAAATTGTAGAAGAAAACTTTCCCAACCTGAAGAAAGATGTACCTATGAAGGTTCAAGAAGCATACAGAACACCGAATAGACTGGGTCAAAAAAAAAAAAAAAACATCCCCTCGCCATATAATAATCAAAATACAAAGCATACAGAAAAAAGAAAGAATATTAAGAGCCGCAAAGGAAAAAGGCCAAGTTACTTATAAAGGTAAACCTATCAGACTTACACCTGACTTCTCTATGGAAACCATGAAAGCCAGAAGGTCCTGGATAGATGTACTGCAAAAACTAAGAGACCATGGATGCAAGCCCAGACTACTATACCCAGCCAAGCTTTCGTTCACTATAAATGGAGAAAATAAAATTTTCCAGGATAAAAACAAATTTAAACAATACGTGGCCACAAATCCAGCCTTACAGAAAATAATGGAAGGAAAATCATTAACCAAGGAGTCCAACAATGACCACAATAACTCAGACATCTAGAGACCTTTCACCAGTGCAACTCAAAGAAGGGAAACACACAAACCATACTACTAAAAAAGTGACCGGAGTTAACAACCACTGGTCAGCCGGGCGGTGGTGGCGCACGCCTTTAATCCCAGCACTCGGGAGGCAGAGGCAGGCGGATCTCTGTGAGTTCGAGGCCAGCCTGGTCTACAAGAGCTAGTGCCAGGACAGGCTCCAAAGCTACAGAGAAACCCTGTCTCGAAAAACTAAAAAAAAAAAAAAAAAAAAAACAACCACTGGTCATTAATATCACTTAATGTCAATGGGCTCAACTCACCTATAAAAAGGCACAGGCTAAGAGATTGGATACGAAAACAGGATCCAACATTCTGCTGTTTACAAGAAACACACCTCAACCACAAAGACAGGCACCTACTCAGAGTAAAGGGCTGGGAAAAGGCTTATCAAGCAAATGGACCTAAGAAACAAGCAGGTGTGGCCATACTAATTTCTAACAAAGTTGGCTTCAAACTTAAATCAATCAGAAGAGATGGAGAGGGACATTTTATACTCATAACAGGAACAATCCATTAGGATGAAGTCTCAATCCTGAATATCTATGCCCCTAATATAAAAGCACCCACGTACGTAAAAGAAACATTACTAAAACTCAAGGCAGCCTTCAAACCGCACACACTAATAGTAGGAGACTTCAACACTCCTCTCTCACTAATGGACAGGTCAATCAGACAGAAACCTAACAGAGAAATTAGAGAATTAATGGAGGTAATGAAGCAAATGGACTTAACAGACATCTATAGATTATTCCACCCAAAGAGGAAAAAATATACCTTCTTCTCTGCAGCTCATGGAACCTTCTCGAAAATTGACCACATACTCGGTAACAAAGCTAACTTACACAGTTACAAAAAAATATTAGTAACCACCTATGTCTTATCCGATCACCATGGATTAAAGTTAGAATTCAACAACAATGCTACCCCCAGAAAGCCTACAAACTCATGGAAACTGAACAGTCAACTACTGAACCATACCTGGATTAAGGAAGAAATAAAGAAAGAAATTAAAGTCTTTCTTGAATTCAATGAAAATAAAGAAACAACATACTCGAACTTATGGGACACTATGAAAGCAGTCCTGAGAGGAAAGTTCATCGCACTAAGTGCCCACTTAAAGAAAACAGAGAAAGCACATATTGGAGACTTAACAGCCCACCTGAAAGCTCTTGAAAAAAAAGAAGCAGACTCATCTAGGAGGAGTAGAAGACTGGAAATAATCAAACTGAGGGCTGAAATAAACAAAATAGAAACTAGACTTTAAAATGCTAATTAATCCAATTAAAAAATGGGGCACAAACTGAACAGAGAATTCTCAGCAGAAGAAGTTCAAATGGCCAAAAGACACTTAAGGTCATGCTCAACTTCCTTAGCAATCAGGGAAATGCAAATCAAAACAACTTTGAGATATCATCTTACACCTGTCAGAATGGCTAAAGTCAAAAACACCAAGGATAGCCTTTGCTGGAGAGGCTGTGGAGGAAGGGGTACCCTCATCCCTTGCTGGTGGGAATGCAATCTTGTGCAACTACTGTGGAAATCAGTGTTTCGGTTTCTCAGGAAATTCGGAATCAACCTACCCCTGGACCCAGCAATACCACTCTTGGGAATATACCCAAGAGATGCCCTATCATATGACAAAAGCATTTGTTCAACTATGTTCATAGCAGTATTATTTGTAATAGCCAGAACCTGGAAACAACCTAGATGCCCTTCAATGGAAGAATGGATGAAGAAAGTATGGAATATATACACATTAGAGTACTATGCTGCTGTAAAAAACAATGACTTCTCGAATTTTGCATGCAAATGGATGGGAATAGAAAACACTCTCCTGAGTGAGGTAACCCAGACCCAAAAAGATGAACATGGGATGTACTCACTCATAATTGGTTTCTAGCCATAAATAAGGGTCACAGAGACTACAATTGGTGAACCTAAAGAAGCTAAATAAGAAGGTGAACCCAAGGAAAAACATATAGTTATCCTCTTGGCTATGGGAAGTAGACAAAATTGCCGGGGAGAAAATTGAGATCTTGGGGGTGGGGCGGGATGGGGGTAAGGGGAGATGGGGAGAGAAAAGTGAGAAGGGAAGGAGGGGGGAACTTGGGGAAACAGGAGGATTGGGAAAAAGGAAGGTTGGACAGGGGAACACGGAACCACAATTCTTAGTTAAGGGAGCCACCTTAGGGTTAGCAAGAGACTTGACCTTAGAGTAGATCCCAGGAGCCCATGGTGATGTCCCCAGTTAGTCCCTTGGGCAGCTGAGGATAGGCAACCTGAAATGACCCTATCCTATAGCAATACTGACGAATATCTTGCATACCACCATAGAACCTTCATCTGGTGATGGATGGAGATAGAGACAGAGACCCACACTGGAGCACTGGACTGAGCTCCCAAGGTCCCAATGAGGAGCAGAAGGAGGGAGAAGATGAGCAAGGAAGTCAGGACCACGAGCGGCGCACCCACCCACTGAGACAATGGGGCTGATCTATTGGGAGCTCACCAAGGCCAGCTGGACTGTGACTGAAAAAGCATGGGATAAAACCGGACTCTCTGAACATGGCGAACAATGAGGGCTGATTGGAAGCCAAGGACAATAGCACGGGGTTTTGACCCTACTTCGTGTTCTGGCTTTGTGGGAGCCTAGCCAGTTTGGTTGTTCACCTTCCTGGACATGGATGGAGGGGGGCGGACCTTGGACTTTCCACAGGGCGGGGAGCCCTGACTGCTCTATGGACTGGAGAGGGAGGGGGGAGGAGTTTGGGGGAGGGGGAGAAGGGTGTGAGGAGGGGGAGGGAAATGGGAGGCTGGGAGGAGGTGGATACTTTGTTTTCCTTTTCTCAATAAAAAAAAAAAGAAAAAAAAATAGAATCCTGAAATTTAAAGGTAGAGATACTCAAGAGACAGCTAATATCTGTTAGACCTTCTCATATGTTGTATAATGCACACAGAACATGCCCCCGCCTTAAATACCAACAAGATGCTGAGGAGTCAACAGACCACTCACAGTGTCTAAAAAATTTCTTAAGACTCCCCAGTGGTAGCATTTATAGTGTCAAAAATACTATGTGGGTTGGAACAGGGGAGAGAGATATTTGCATCCTGTGTGCTATAATACAAACCTGCTAGGCAAGGAAGGCCTACTGTCAGAGTGGCGAGACTACTTTGCCGGTAACAGAAGGCCTTCTAGTTTGACCTAAAGCTGGCAATACAGAAGGAAATACACAGATGGTACTAGGAACCTGGCAAAAAGCCAGTGATGGTGAACGTCACAGGCCCTCGGAGGGAACCCTCTACTGACATTCTGCTACATGTAGAAATATTCAAACTGACTCTTACTGGTTCTGATCACACCACAGCCTGGTGTGGCTTTCAGTCTGGGTCTAAGAAACTTTGTTTTTAATAGAAAACAGTATTTCAGACACGCATAACTCATCAAATACTAAGAACAGTTGACGGCTTATTGTACAGACTATAATGGGAATTCCATCTTCTCACATCTAAATTGCAGAGAACAACACAGAAGAGGTAAAAGATTTTTAAGAGCTGGAAGATGGAGAGATCACATGTGAAAGACTCCCCACCCATATCACATTCCAGTTGGAATTATGGATACATTATGGCCAGGATTCTTGGCACAAATCTGTCAAAATCATACATGAACTACAGGTAGAACAACTTGGAAGGAAATGTGTCTACCCAGAAATAGGACAAAGGGTAAAAAGGGGTAATTGTGAGTGAACAGATCTATGAAATCATTAAATACCAATACTTATACATTACAAACTTGTATAAATAGAACTTAACAGGAGAAATTTGGAGGTAGGTCTTTTGTTTGATACTATCTGGTTTTGCTTCTATTTATTTCAACAATAAAAAATGGTATTAAAAAAGAACAAACTAACCAAGCACAAGAAAGACTTATAAAACAGAAACTTAAATTCACTGAAGGAATATAGAATGACACTAGAAGATATGAAAAATAGACATGCACATGAAAAAGAAGGCATTATTGTGAAAATGACAGTGTTAAAAGATTTATGATTAGCTCAAATTCCATGACAATCAAGGTATCCACGATTTACTTCATAAATAGTGTAGTGAAGAGACTTCATAATAGGTAGTGAAGAGACTCCTACAGATTTACATTATTTACAAATTACAAAATTACAAAGATCCTAAGTGTGCAGAACAAGCACAGACACACAGAGCAAAGCTTGAGTCATCCCAGCTGTGACTTCAGATGACACTGCAGTTCCACAGAAACAGCACCATGGCAGTGGCAGCAGCAGATCCAGGACCAATCCAACCTTCTATGATGAACTGAATTTCACCACAACACCAAAAACTTGTTACATAATAGAGCCATGTCAACCAGAGCTATAAGAAAAGGTAAATATCCATGACTAAAAAAAATAAAAATAGATGAAGAGCAATAAATTGGTGAAATCTGATTGTGTGCAACTGAAAAAATTGCATAGAAATGGAAATAACTGAAAGTATAAAGAAACAGCTTACAAAATGGAAAAAAATATTAAGGAACATTTCATAATGTAACACATAAATACTCAGAATTTAACAAGTCAAAAAAGTACAAAGCAAATGTTATATTATAATCAAGAAATAATCTCTAAAAAAGTGGCAATGCACACAAGCTTTGACATAGCCTACATGTAAACAGCACATGCTCCACATGTCTAGTCATGAAAAAAACATTCATCTATTGAACACAAAAGTCTCTCTGCCCAGTCAGTGTTAACAATCAAGGTCCTAAATAATTACAAACACTGAAGACACTACAGGAGGAAGAACACACAGAGACAGTCTTGGTATGATCTCAAATAACTGCAGCCACCAGGCAGTTTAGTGACCAACCAAACAATAAAAAGAGAAAACATACAGAAGATACTACTCGGTACATAAAGGAATAAAATATACAGCAAACAATAAAATAGAAATTCAGAAAAAAAGACACACAACAAAAAAATTAACAAAAATAGTATGTGCTTATATTTTCCTTCAGTGATTTCTGGAAATATATATGCTAAATATGCCCCAAAACAAACATGAAAATAGGATACATCCTCAAAAGAGAAAACACCCTAAAATCAAAATATATACTTTCTATAAAAGTATTTACTTCAAGTGTAGGGATACAAAGTGCTAAGGTGAAGGAATTTTTTAAAAGGTTTCTGTGAAGAAGGCTGGTCATAATTATGGTAACTGGAAAAGGCAAATCTATAAATATAAAAATAGAGGATATTAACAAATGACCAAATGGTACCTTTCCAGAATGCTATGTGATCAAAACAAAGGCATTTTATAAAAGTTTTCAAATACATGAGATCAATGACAGAACTGTAGGACACAAATAGTCAGTGATGCAGGGAAGCTTCAGTGTTAACCACTGAGAAAGACAACCATGAACAGGAAGCACAGAAAACCAACAATGACTAGCAGGCCTGCACAGAATCATCTACACAACAGCATAAGATGCTCAGTCTTCTCAAACTTCAATCAGCAAGGGACAATGTAGATATGTCTTAAAAATAGACCAAATCTTTAAAATTAGTAAAGGCCAATGTTAAAAAGTGTCTTCAACAAGAACATTGAATGTTGACATCATCAGTAGATAGAAAAGAGAATAACAAAAAAAAAAAAAAAAAAAAACATGTTAATACTGACTCACCGAAACCATGTTCTCATTCAAACCAGGGAAGAAATGTAAAAGGTTGTTCATGTTCTAGAAAGATTCGAAGTAATTTTTACCAAGATCATACAGACATTCTTTCATAGAGAGAAAATCTTCCTAAAATTTATAAAAATGTGAGAAACCGCGATGATTAAAATATTTTGAGAGAAAGAAAAAAACCAGAGGCAATTTCAAAATATATAAAAGTTTTAGTGATGAGGCCTGCCTGGTCTACAGAGCATGATCCAGGACAGTCAAGGCTCTTATACAGAGAAACCCTGTCTCGAATAACAAAATAAACAAACAAAAAAAATGGAGTGATGCAAGCAGTGGAGTGTTGAAGATAGACACCGACGGGTACCAAAGAGAAGACAGGGGAAATGGAGGTTAATACTTGGCAGAGATATTAAGCAAATCTTATCAAAATCCTGTGGGCATTATATTAGGAAATAGAGAAAGTAACCCCAAGAGACACAGAACCTGAAGGAACTAAATGATGTCCCAAAAACTCTGCATGCAGGACAAACCAAGAGGCTTCAATGGTTTTTATTAAGCACCAAATTAAAATGATAATAATGAAATCACTCATTATTAGTATAAAACCACAACCAGCAATGTGAATGAAATATGGACAGCATCACTCCCATGTAAATTCAAAAAATTTTATTTGCCTCTGAATATTAATAATTATGTATAAAATCTTCAAACACCTACAAAGCCATAATTCAGATTATTCTTAGTGGAAATCTCTAGAATCGCTTCCAATGAAATAGAATGTGGCAAAACCAATTTCATATCCTGGTTCTACTGTCACCTGAGCCCTTCCCCAACCCTTCATCCCTTCCTCAGACCCTCTAGCACACCTGGATCCTTTGCTACTGTCTCCACTCTCTTCACCACCCAGGGCTCTTGGTTCTGCTTCACAGGTGAGCAGGAGTAACTGAGACCTGCATAAGAAAGAGATTCTTCAGAAAGCACCTAGACCTTTTCACAGAACAAAAATGAAAGATACTAACTTTCAAAAGTTAAAAGATACATGTTTATCTGCCAAAGGATAAACATGAAGGAGAGAGAAAATACCAAGACAAATGTCTCTCTTCTCTGAAGATTTCACTTTACTCTTTAATTGAGATTCATTCACACACATGCAGAGTAGTTTTCCCAGAAACCCCGAGGAAGAGCCAGGGAGACTGCAAGAAAACTATTCTCACCTTCAGAATCCAGAGTGCTGTACTTCTCCTACAGATCTCTGCAAAAAGCCCTGTGAGGAAACTCGAGGCATTCCCACGCTTACAAGGATTTCAGTCACAGCACTATATGTCAACAAACCCTGAAATAAAAAAGGACAGTTCAGCCCGGTGTACCTCGGTAGAGAGCTTTCCTTCAACCAAGGAGACATTTTCCTGATACAGGTGAGTGAATGTTCATAATTCAAATGATGCTTTCTAAAATTTTTGTTCAATGTATAACGAGTGTACTAACTATAAAATATTGTGGACTAATATACTCTCACAGTACTCATGCTGGCCTTGCCTGGACTGAGACGTAACTTAAGAACACAGCATACGAAGACACATTTATAAATGCTGTATTTACATCCTAGACTGCATATATCTCAGATATATATGGAAAAATAGTGAGGAGTAAAAGATAAGCTAGATGCTTACAACCATGTATGTGGCAGTTCTGTTAATCAGATCTTTACTGGTTCCTTATGTAATAACTATCTACAAAGCTCCCTGGGGATACCTAGTCTCAGGAGCAAGGACCACGCTTCTTGAACAGGCAAGTGGTAAAACGGGGAAGTTAGAAGGCACGGGTGAATATAAATTCCAGGAGCTTTGGAAATGCCACAATGGCAGAGAGAACCCTGTTTACAAACAGCAGACAATGCTAATGATCTACTACGTTATTTTAAGAATTATTTTCTAAAAGAATAGCCTAGTAATCGTAAAATAATTGAAAAAAATCACGGTAAGACACACTTGATGGTATCTCAAACTTACTGACAATTGAATGTTTAAAGCTATAAGGATAAGGTGGGGTAAAACGTGGGGCCTCTGGTAGCCGGTCATGCCGCTAAGAGAACACGCCACCTGTAAACAGGTCTATGGTGAGAGATTTATAGGGGGAAGAAAAATGAGCAAAAAAGCTAAAGGCCGTCTAGGACTGGGGACATAAGGGAGGCAGAGAGACACAGAGAACAGATAAGAGAGCAAGCGAGGAGCAATAAAAGAGAATTGTGACAGACGAACACTTTTAAGGGTGTGCATGGGGTATAGAGAAGAACCCAGTTTGTAGTGATGGAATTTGCCGCGCCTGGCCACAGACGATGACTTAAGCTGCCATCGCTTCGGTCGCCACACAGAACGACCGGCAGGAGCTGACAGAGTCCTGAGCAGCCTCAGCCCACACCGCCGCCCCTTCCCTCCTCGGTCCCAGCCCCGCAGCTCCTCTGACCTGGGAGGTTCCAGGACCGCCGCGCTGCGGTTCCCGCTGCTGCGCTGCTGACTTCCCCAGGCGGCCCCGCGGCGACTGCGGCTCCCGGGAGTTTTCAGGTCCCCAAATTCATAGCGCGGTCTTCCTCACCGGTTCCAGAAGCGGCTCCCTGAGTCCAACAGGGAATGGCGGAATTTCCTGTACCTTCAGCCTGGTTCATTGGAGCGTTTCCTCTTGGCCCCGCCCAATTACACACCACTTCCCGTCACGTGCTCCCTCGAAATCCGCCTACCACGGGCTTATTTTCCAGCAGCAGTTTTCCAAGTACATCTGCTGTTTTTGTTTTGTTTTGTTCTTTGTTGGTTTTATCCCTAAACTCCAGTGAGCTGGCAAATGTCCCCGCCCCACATCGGGGACCCCTCCCTTCCCCCTCCCTCCCACTCCGTCTCAGGCCGCCTTCCACACAGCTCCAGCTGTCAGGCTGCCCTGGACCCGCTCTGCCCAGCCTCCCCACATGCTTGCTGCCAGCCTAGGCTACAACTGCACCCCTGTGTCTGAACTTCACAATGAGTTCTGGCCCAAAGCAGTGGGAATCTAGCAGAATCATTTTATCTAGGGTAAACATTAGAAGGAGTAACTGTATCTAGCTTAAACATTAAAAGGATTGTTTTCTAGAAGTACTCAGACACTGAAGAAACCATTGTGGAAAAGAGTGATTATTTTTCTGTGATTGGCAGAACTGTTTCTTTGAGGGAATTTTAGAGCCCTTACATGACTTTGGTCACAAGAATATCCTGGCACACCTGGAGAATCTTGCATTATTGAGCACTGCAAACAGTACACAATAAGGACTAAAGTTGCAAGGGTGTGATGCTTACCTCAGAAAACATACTGAATAGATAAGGGGATTTGGTATGAGGCACTTGTTTTACCCAGATGCAGATGTGTCTCATTGTCATGAAAAGTATAAGTTATTAAAACATATCAAATGCCATATTCTGAAAGTCTCTAAAATAGTTGGGTGTGGTGCTTCACACCTTTAATCCCAACACTTGGGAGGCAGAGGTAGATTGACCTCTGTGACTTCAAGTTGTGGTAGCACACGCCTTTAATCCCAATGCCTGGGAGGCAGAGACAGAAGGATCTCTGTGAGTTCAAGGACAGCCTGGTCTTCAGAGTTATTCCAGGACAAAGATATACAGAGAACCTGTCTCAAGAAGTAAAAGTAAATATAAAAGAAATAGAGGTTAAAATAAAGCTGCAGAAAGATGGAAAATACACAGAGAATCTTGATGCTGTATACTATTATGCTCTCTTTGAATTGTTTGAATGCTGAGGAAGGAGCAACAGCTGCTAAAAGATATTTGCTTATAAATGCTGCCGAATTAATCCAAGATAGGTATTTTGAAAATACTTTGACTTTAAAATTGAAGTCAAAAGGTATGTTACTTTGGAGAAGAGATTTTGCTTTTGTTTCCACAGGAAATGAAAGACTGTGGATTCATTCTGAATTAAGAAAAATTAGGTTCGATCAAGGAAGGCCACCTGAGAAATCTCTTGTAGGAACAGATGGCCCGATATCAGAGTTCTACATCCAGATGGATTCATGACTGCTGCCTGAGATGATCAAGACTCACAGGAGTCCAGCCCAGACCACCAAAGAGGCAACATGTGACCTGCCCTGCTGAGAAAGGTATCGAGCCACGTGGCTAACATAGATAAGAATAATGGGTTAATATAAGCTACAAGAGAAGACTGAACTAATAGGTCAATCAGTTTTATAACTTAGGAAGATCTCTGTGTGATTTTCTTTGGGGCTTGTCGGCTGTGGGGTATCGGGTGGGACAGAATCCCCAACAAGCAAGCCCCTCATTTTAGAAATAACCACAAAACCAAAGGAAATGAATAATGAAAATACTCTCCAAGAATATTTCTCTTTGAATATTTTAATAGTCATAATATGAGTAAAAACATCAGGATATGCCTCAGTTCATGTAAGTGAACATTTAGTGACAGCACAACAGAATTTTGAGAGCCAGGATAAAAAATAAAGCTGTTGTGAATTTACAATCTTTAAAATTTGATGCATAGGGCATTCATAGGCAGCATCAGAATGCAAGGAAAAATGGGCATGGCAATGTATGACTTTTCATGAGAAAGATCAGGACATTTCCACATGACACATCACTTCATGACTCTTGCCCTATAACATACAGAATCCAGTGTAAGATACTGTGTTTTAAATTTAGCAGTATTAAATATGGAAGCCAAATGTGTCCCATGACACAATTTTGTTCATATCTGTAATTGATAAAGTACATTTTCCACTTCATGGAAACTAAGCACAAGGTCATTCTAGGATGGTATGAATATCCCATGGTTTAAATGTTTCCCCTAAAAAAATACAGAAATGACATTTCCTCAAATAAACACCAGCTTCTGAACAGATACATTTCTACATATCTGAAGCTTCCATTCAAAGGTCACTATAATGTGTTTCAATGTGAACTGTTTTTTTTGTTTTGTTTTTTTTTGTTTTCGAGACAGGGTTTCTCTGTGGTTTTGGAGCCTGTCCTGGAACTAGCTCTTGTAGACCAGGCTGGTCTCGAACTCACAGAGATCTGCCTGCCTCTGCCTCCCGAGTGCTGGGATTAAAGGTGTGCGCCACCACCGCCCGGCTCAATGTGAACTGTTTAAAGTAAATAAAGCTCAAATTGTTATATGTGGTTTTCAGAATGTGGTGCTCAGGATTGGAGTGGAAGACCACAACTAGTCTAGTCTTCCCTTGGATAGTCTCTCAGACAGAGGCTTCCTAATCTCCCAGATCTATCAAGTTCTTCTCACATCTAAATTTTGTAACAGTGTGCATCTATTTTCCAATTGTCTTCTCCTATTGTTTAAAACCAACAAATACCAGGAAAATATAATATTCATGGATATTTACCCATAATCTAAAGTCAGCAGTGAATTAAATGGTATTTTTAAAATCCTGAAATCTACAAGGAAAGATTATTAAAACTGAAGTGTTATCTCTAGAAGAAATGACTGCTAGAATTGACAGTGAAGGAAATGTATTTGAATGTGGTAAAAAATTAACACAGGCTTTTTATTATGTATACAATATTCTGTCTGTGTGTATGCCTGCAGGCCAGAAGAGGGTACCAGACCTCATTACAGATGGTTGTGAGCCACCACATGGTTGCTGGGAATTGAACTCAGGACCTTTGGAAGAGCAGGCAATGCTCTTAACCTCTGAGCCATCTCTCCTAACACAGGCTTTTTACTCAGGAACCTACTTAGATTTTAAAAAACACATAAAAATAAGAACAAAAGTTTCAGAGATAGTCAGGTGGTTGGAGCATATTCAGAGAGTCTAGTTTGGTCCTGTGCAAGTTCCTTACCTATCAGGCCAGAGTTGGTGGGTTCCCATTAGCTCATGTAAGCTGTTTCAGTAAGAATTCCCATCATGGTCTTGATATCTTTGTTCATATTCTCATTTCTCCTACTCTTCAACTGGACTAGATAGCAAGGGTCCAAAGAAGAATGCATGGATTTCCCTGGGAAGAGGAAATAGAAGAGCTATCCTGGGTAAACTGGGCCATGGTGGGGCACTTAAAGGAGAGGGTTGACAGCTTGGGCATGGGAAAAGAGTTGGAGGGTTGGATGCAGAGGGAGAGTAATGATAATGATATCCTAATAGGGGGTGATTTCGGGATGAGGGAGAAACTTCATGCTAGGGAACTCCCAGGAATCCACAAGGATGCCCCTGATAAGACTCTAAGCAATTGTGGAGAGGGTGCCTGAACTGGCCATGCATAGTAATCAGATTGTTGACTACCCTAAGTATCATCACAAAGCCTTTATCCAGTAATTGTTAGAAGTAGATGCAGTGACCACAGCCAATCATTGGGCTGAATTCCAGGCATCTTCTTGAAGAAAGAAAGGAGTGATTGTATAAGCAAGGGGGTGTGTCAAGGACATGAGAGAGGAATGCACAAAGACAGTTAACCTGAGCTTGTGGGAGTACGTAGACTTTGAAACAACAGTTAGGGAGCCTGCAAAGTACCAACCTAGGCTTTCTTCATGGGTGTGACAATTCTGTTGCTTGGTCTGTTTGTAAGTCTCCTAGCCAAGTTAGAGCAGGACTTGTCCCTGGTACTCAGCTTGCTTTTGGGAAGCAGTTCCCCATGCTGCATTACCTTGTTCAGGCTTGATGTAGGAGGGGAAGCTTGGTCCTACCTCAGCTTGATGGCCCATGCTTTGCTCAAGCCCATGGAGAACATGCCCCTTTCTGAATAGAAACAGAAGAGGAGTGGATGGGGAGGGGGATTGATGGAAGTCAGCAAGGGAGCAGAAAAAAAGGAGTGGGGGAAACAGGGGTCAGTATGGAAAAGCGATGAAAAAAAAGGTTAACTAAACAATATTAAAAAACAGCTAATGTGCCCCTCTCACCATTTTGCATCTGACAGGATTACTGAAGGGCATTTCTTCTGGGCCTTCCCATTGTTGAGGATTAGGGTTTACACAACATACCTTCTCTAGCACTGCAAATTTCCCTGAGCCTTAAAATGCCTTCTTTTTTTTTTTTTTTTTTTTTTTTTTTTTGGTTTTTTGAGACAGGGTTTCTCTGTGGCTTTGGAGCCTGTCCTGGAACTAGCTCTTGTAGACCAGGCTGGTCTCGAACTCACAGAGATCCGCCTGCCTCTGCCTCCTGAGTGCTGGGATTAAAGGCGTGCGCCACCATCGCCCGCCTTAAAATGCCTTCTTTAACCCTAAGCCAAGGGATGTCAAACATGTGCAACTCTTTTTCAGTAGGTCATCTTTTGACAAGTGCTTCAGTTAATCATTCACATAAACTTTTGACAAATTTTTAGCCATGTAAGCTTCCATATTAAACCCAGAATCTCCACTCAGAGGCATATCAATAAACTCAACTTGGTCTACTTTTATGTTTTATGTTCCCTGCAGCAGTATCCCACACCATTAAAAACCATTCCCACACAAATTCCCAGACTTATACAAGAATTAATTAGCAGGGCTGGAGAGATGGTTCAGAGGTTAAGAGCATTGCCTGCTCTTTGAAAGGGCCTAAGTTCAATTCCCAGCAACCACATGGTGGCTCACAACCATCTGTAATGGGGTCTGGTGCCCTCTTCTGGCCTGCAGGCATACACACAG